TCTACTTGTTACTATTATTGTTTAGTGCAAAAATAATTAATTCTTTTTATATATTATTCACATTGCATTCGATAAGATACAGAACAACTATAAATATAACATTATTTTCATTTATATTTTAATTATTTTCTTTAATTTTAGTGTTTAATACTTTGAGGTAATAAAAAGATCGTTTCATGTAGATGCACGAGTTCTGCATCATCGAAGGATTAATACTATCAAAAAACATATTTGAAGTTTTCTAAAATTGATCGTCAATTTGAATTTCGTGGGAATTATAACCTCAAATTCATTAAGTGATAATACAAAATTAAAATAAAACTGGTATATGTTATTAATGGAATAGAATGACTGTTTTACTTCTAGATAGAGCATTCAGTATGAATTTCTAAATTCTAACGAGAACAAAATTCCATTTGTAATGGTACGTCTCTTGAACTTCAAAAATAGACTCTATTTATAAACGATTTACAAATCGTGACATATTATAAATTATTGCATAACATTCTTTACATTTTCTTCGACACTTTATAACATTTCTCATTTCACATTTTATTTTCATTTATTCACATGATTTGAACTGTATGTTTTGGTAACTTTTTTAGGTCTGTTATCAACAGAGTCGATGGAGTTCAGCCAACCTTGCCAAGAATGATGGATCACGAGCAAATTAGCGCTAAGTTAGCGTCAGATCGAATTCACATAGATGGCAACGTAACTGTCATCAAACGAATGTATGAAAAATGTTGCAATTTATTTGAAATTAATAAGATTTATATATATTTTGAAAAATTTGTTTAACTGTATTGCGGAACTTTGCGGAACGCATTATTTAGACATTTATTTACTTTAGAGTATTTTGACAAACACCACACATTAAACAAAACGCATCCCGCATTTTTCATTTGTGTTTAGCAATTATTAGACCTTTGCCTAGTAGTTCAGAATATTAATAGTTTTTCGTGATATCATTGCATAAATCCATATTATTAAACATGTCAAATGCATACTTTATCAAAGGTAAATTAAAATTAAAGGTTAAATTTAGATTTTAAATTTTTGTTTTCAATATCTTTCTAAAATATTACCTACTAGCATATTATATAAAATATAATTATATTTGAAAAAGTATTACGCTTATTAATATAATATTGTAATTATTACATCTTACCTGCAGCATTTTTAAATAAATAAATGAATCATTTTTCCAAAGAAGGAAAGGTGTAAATCTGCAACTAGATATAAGATGCGCTACCGTAACATCCTTTTATTGTTTAAACCGAACGAAAACTTTGCGTCTTATTTAAATTAAAATTTTTCACAAAATTAAACGCAGGAAATAGCAATTTCCTATGCATACAAATTTTCTATTTATAGAATAACTCATAAGGTGAAAATTATTATTATTTATTATTATTATTACCGTACATAGAAC